AACCATAGTTGTGCTATAGCGCCCTCTCTGGTCGTCCAGGGTGCATGTAACTACCGTTAGGTAGAGGCGATATCACAACTGGAAAAGGTACACTTAAGATAATTTATACCGGTATCACCATTTGGCTCCCTGGTTCATATGCATTGAGGCTGAGTTCGGGCGGTTTGTTCTCGTATGTTCACGAACAGCTCGGTTTGTCGTTCTTGGATCGGCCGCTCAAACGCCGGGAACAAACAACCGGTTATTAGAAGCATCATGCTAGTAACGTGCAACATGGTGGTGTCCATATTGTAGTAAACTATTCGAGAGTTGATGCTTGGACAACTGGGCTAAATTCTTTTCTAATCAAACAGGAACATTCATTTATGTGTTGTGAAAAATAAGTAATGTTAATTTTGCCAAACTCCCTATCGTCTCCAACTTTGTAAACCATCTCTCTCTTTTTTGCAGCTGTTCAAAAATCAAAATCTCACGAGTTTTTCCGTGTGCTCCTGTAAAACCCTGACGAGGAGGTGGTGTGTGATCCTGTTCCGAGATCCTGTTCTTGAGTCGTGTTCCCGTCGTTCGAGCGCGGCGAGAACAAGAAACCCGTGTCAAGAAAACGGCGCCCGAACTCGACCTAGGCGTCACTGTAAATGAATTATGCAGTATCTGCTCTTTGCAAGGGTACCACGTGCACATATGTATGTATATGTGTGTCATACGTGCGTAACGCGACGAGAGGTTTACTTCCGAGCAGGTTCGCGAGTCATTCAACTTCTTATAATTGTTGTAGACCATGATAGACTGTGATGAATATAGCAGTATGTAGTCTTGGTTTCAAGACGTTAGGGCTTGATAGAGAACACCGTGCATAGTGCGCCCCAACGACTCCCAATTAGACTGTGCGCAGTGAGAGTAAGTAAAAACTAGTTGGGCGAGGGCGCTCTTTAACAGAAATAAAACAACTATCGATCACTGACGTCTTTGGCCAAGACTAAGCAGTATAATATTCATGTATTCGCATGATTCAAGAAGGGACAGAAGCCACGACTTATTGTTGTTGTTTTTAAAGTAAAAGTATGCCTTAAATTAAAGATGGCAAGCACATCAAGTGTACTTGTAGCAGCCTCCAATATGTTGAGGGGGAAATGATCCCCCCTGCAGCTCTGCAGTGCTTTTATTTACAAGAACGTCGGAAAAAATCACAAGCCTATTAACTTGAAAAATACCATGACCTAAATCTGTATAGTTATTTGTTAATAATAGGGAATCGGTGGTGTAATAGGGTCGAAATGGTAGGTTATGTGCTACAATTGCACAGTTCAGTATTATATAGATGAATAGTTGAATACAAAGGGGGCCTCAGACGATCACATTTTGGGCACTGATAGACTGATAGTTTCCAATTTGGGATTTTTTCCACAAAAATCCCAAATTGCGGGCCTATTTTGGATAGAGGCGGGCGTCCTGTTATATTCAGAAATTATCGCTTAGTTTTACTGCTGTTTTGGGGGTATATTCCTCGACAGGTGAATAAAATAAGAATTTGAAACACAAAGTGATCTTCTGGCCATAATCTTGAATTTCCAGTAAAAAAAAAAAAACTCTGCACGAGAGTCATCAGGCGGCGCTCATTTTCGGTCCGATTTTGCACTGTTTTCTATGGGGGAGAACTTGGTGTAGTGCAACCCTAGCTATGTACATGTACATGTAGAGTACATGTACTCGTAAACTACATGTACGTGTACAGTGTACATGTACATGTACATGTACATCCATATGTACAGTACATGGACATGTACATGTACACTGTACATGTACATGTACACTTAAGTGTATCGATTCACGTGTACAGTACTGTGTACCTCGCGCGCAATGTGCATTCGCAGCGTCAAGAGCACACTACTAAATAATTCATACTTTACGGTGACACCTATGACCCGGATTGAGTTTGTATAAATTATCATAAATATACCTTTTTCCGGTTGTGATACTGCCTCCACAAATTGTACAATACGCGTTAGACCAGAGTCGACCCTCGTTAAAGTTTGAGTTGTAAAAACACGCGATATCCTGGGTATTTTGTGAATGTCAGCATGGTAAGCCAATCTAGAAACAATTTCAAAAAGGAGAGTTTCTATTATGGTGCAGCCCCAACATGCCCAACGCGTGGCTTGTCCGTAGGCCTATGGAATGTGTTCCTTCCTCCATGGTGTAAACATGTGTAAATAACTTGAAGTTGGACTGTACAACTTGAAATCGCCTATTTTAACGTTTGCATTTGGACATGGTATTTCACCCTACCATGTCTAAATGTTTAAAAAGGCGAGGGAAGAGTTCCATATACGGACGTTAGTAATTATTCACAGTGACCTGTTACTTGTTAGCTATGAAAAAGCAAAAGCATATCCAGAAAAATTCAATATTTAGGAAGGAAAATAACAAGTCGATCAGTTAGGAAACACTTAAAATTTTTCCAACTAATCTTGTAGGGTTTGCGTACATCCAGAACCGTATGGTTTATATCCACCAGAGACTGGTTTTCAAGGGAATAATGATTTTTCTTTAATTTTAAAAATGCAAGATATCAACTAACGTCCTAATCACCTTCCTTAAGTTACAATAACATGCAATTTGAAAACACCTATCAAAACTGGATGACCTTCACAGCTTTAGCCCAACTGAGTGATCTCCCATGCTCTCACGACCGCACCACCCACCACTGATTGTGACCTATTTTCGAGGGTTGTACAGACTGTACAGTGCCCGAGTGAAGCCATGCATGAAATTCGGTAAATGTTTGTTGCCATGCAGCGCGTCTTGTGTGACTTTATCTTGTAATTGTTTATTGTCGGAAGTGGTCTTTTCCCAAATCAGTCTCTTTTCACTTCACAAAATATTGAAATGATTTTAAATTTAGATAAAATAAAATAAAGTTAAAACTGTTGCAGGTGTCTCTTTGCTCTCAACTCTAAAGTTTCCCTGTGTTTAATTTTTTTTCCAACTGTCCTTTGTTTATTTTTCATTAGACATGAAATTAATAGGTGAATGTTTTAAAGTGAACACACTTTCATTTATTTCTAAAGCTGGAAAAAAAAACATGTTCTAGTGCTTACTGTGCAGATTATTTCATTAACCATAATTTACTTGGCAAAATAATGATAAACATGCTTGAAATAAAAAAAAATTGCTTTTTGGGGGGGAAATCTCCTGACGAAAGAAGGAAACTGCATTGATAACATTTACTCCCCTGTGGGTTGGAAGTGTGGGAGGCTGTGACAAGGTGTGACAATAAAATGTGTCCCGGGCCAGGAGAGGGGTGACATTGCAAGAGTACTTGATATGTTTGTCCAGCGCAAGCTGTTTTCGAACATACACTGGCTCCATGATGTTAATTAAATTGATGGAGTTCGCAAGTTCAGTGGGTCCAAATCAGTGGAAAACACAGCACTTGTCACTGTCATCAATCTCTGAGTCGCTGTCATCATCATCGATGGTGATGGTGATGGCGTATTTTGGATCAGGCTGGGGTGGAGAAATCATACAAGGCTTCTTTGGTTCATTCACACCAACAATGCACCAAAATGCTTTTGTAAGCATTGATGGTGAATACAATGTAGTTCCTGTAGACACTTGGCCCAGACTGCAGCACTGGGCTTGTACACATGTTCTGCAAGTTGAGAAAGTAACATGTATTTTGCTGTTGAATGCCACATGCTGGTTGTGATATGTAGAGCCTAATGAATATTCATTATAATCTCTTTTTTGGTCAAAATATCGATCCATTTTTTATTTTGTAGGCCATAATTGAAAAAAACCCTCACAGTCACTTAAAAGAATGAAATGAAAGAAGAAACCTACATTGAATTACTGTTCTTCTTATGTATTAATTTAGATTTTTAATAGGCATGCAGGAATCGCACATTTTCATGGAAAAAATGAGCTTTGCAACATGTCAACTCGTCACTCCAAATGTGAGGGCGAAATGATTTGCCAGGCAGTGAGAAAACGATATAAGGAACATGTCTTTTCCAAGCATCCGTACTTTACCCTGCATGCTCAGTTATCAGTGGAATCATGTGACTTCAGTCATACACGAACAGCAACTTTGAAACATTGTTATCTGAAACTTAAAATACACTGTAATGGATATTAATTGTCCGCACACCCTCCATGGTTTTTGTATCTTGTAAACTAGGCATAAATACATAAACTTTAGATATTTACAAGTGCAACTTACTGCTAAAGCCATAACTTCCAACATTTTTCGGCCAGCGGGGAGAAGAGAAGATCTTCGGCAAGTCTGAAGGAATATTATGCCATTCATTGTTTACATTGCGCGGCGTAACGCAGACGGTAAGGACGTGAAAAGTGGGCCCCTCGAAATCTGGACCTCCCACGATACAAATCCTAAAGATAACCATGTACAAACTGCCATAAACACATTCTGGCTCTGTTGAGAGTACCAACTTACCCTTCCATCACAGCTATTTGTGTAACTAAATTTCCTGCCTTCTTGGTGAAGTCAGATGTCAGGATGGGGAGGTTTATTCACCATATATCCTCATTAAAATGGTCAGAAAGCCTTTTGCCTATCCACACTACAGAAATCAGCAGCATCTCTGAGCATGTAACTCAATAACTGTCAGCTGTGTGATACTGGTAGCTTGACCAATCGCAATACAGCTCCCAATGTTTTCCTTTTTTTCCTGTCACCTACAGATGAAAGCCGCACTGTGATTGGTCCAATTTGTTTACATTCCAGTGACCAGTCAGAGCTCAGTTTTCATTTGGATGGGGTCAGGAAAACAAAAGGAAAAGATGGGAGCTCATTTGCAATTGATCAAGCTATCACACAGCTGGCAGTTATTGAGAGTACATGCTTAGTGATGCTGCTGTTTTTCTGTAGTGTGGATGGGCAAATGCTCAAGAATTTCATCATTTTATTTTTAATGAGGATATAAGTTGAATAAACCACCCCATCTGACATCTAACTTCACCAAGAAGGTATGAATGAAATTTGGTTGCACAAATAGCTGTCATGGAAGGGTAAGTTGGCATAATCAAACAGCCAGAATGTGTTTATGGGAGTTTATACCTGGCTAAGGTTTGTATAAGCCTTACAGTTTTGGAAGTAGGGTTTGTGCACAGGGTGTCAAGCGGCATCCGTAGGGAACTCGTTCCCCAAGTCCTACTTTAGGCCTCCCTCCCACCCCAGAAACTGTGGTGTTCGTTGTCCAGCTGCGCTCCCACAAAACGTTTGTGGGAGCGTGGGGGGTGACAAACCCCACAATTCTGGGGCCGAGGGTAGTCCAAATAGGCCTCAACTTTAGTCCAACCAGGCCCTATGCATGGTAGGCCTGTCATCCATGGATATGATGGACTAGCCACAACCTGTGGCCAGCTACTGGATTTGAACCCCAGACCCTCTGGTTGTGAGTCAGGAACCACTAGGCCCCCACCCCCTGTAATGCTTCATGGTCAGTGCTTTTTCACAGTGTTCAAAAATTCATGATAACTTGCCACCAAAGAAAGATTACATTGATGTGATAGGCATTGTAAATTGAACCTGTTTTTCTACTTTGTATTTTCATTCAGGCAACTGGTATGGACCAAGTTCTGGGTATGGGCCTTGTGGCCTTAGCCGGGGCAATCTTCTCATACTATACAGTCTGGGTCATATTCATGGTAAGACTGTACTGCATGGCGTACACATCAGTTGAGACAGTTTCACCCCATTTTCCTTCCCTTCCCTCCTCTTTTACAATAAAAGAAATTAAACAACAAAAACACCTCAGTGCATTGATTTAGCCATCTCCTGAAATCTTGATCTTCGTTGTTACTCAAGTTACTCCCCTTGCCCCACATGGTCTTGATACTGGACTCCATCTGTATCTAAGGCTCCACGCAGCAAATTGGGGAGATGGTAAAGATGAAAAGTTACAGACTTTGACAGATTGACTGTTGGATAAGTTGATATTAGGTTTGAAAGTACAGTTACATTATACATTAACCACTTCCTGTCGGGGACTCCGGAATCGGAGACGTATGGCTTATATGTGGGGCCGGGGTCTCCGAACTCGGACAAAGGAAACAGGGCCCTGTAACAAAAGACTGTACCCCGAACAAAAGACCAGGCTGCTGGGCATTACCGGCATTTTTAACTCTCAAAAGTGGTGATAATCAAGCCTTGTTTTGAAACTATACCAGGGTTTGGGGCATTGAGAGCGAGCGGATTACCACCGGGGACAAAAGAGCGCCGCCACTGCAGCGATGAGCCACACAGCACGGCTGCACGCCAGGTTCATGAACAAAAGACAGTTATATAACGCCACACAATCTGGGCTCTGTTTACAAGGCTGCAGGCCTGGCTGAAATACTCAGGCGTCAGTGAAGGTCACCTGTCAACTTAGAGTAGTGCCTAAAGTTACTTCGTGCGGCTATTAACAATCGTTAAATGAAATGAAAGATTTTGAAAACGGAAAAAATGATAGTCATGCCGGCCCAGCAGCATCAACATCGAAAAATGCCCCGGCATGAAGTGGTTAAAATTTTCCTCTGTTTGATAATTGTTCATGTAATTTCCGGAGGAAATTCAGACAAGTATAATTTGTGTATGTGTTTCAGTGGAGTACAGCCAGATTTGTAGCAAAGTACTCTGGTGATGCCAACACCAAAAAAACTCTCTCCAAGGCCAGGTCAATGTAGGAGGCCAACAGAGGTCATGACCCCCCTTCCACCCCAAAGAACCCACAGCTTTGCTCTTTTCAAAGAGAAAGTTGATTGTTTCTATTTCACTTCCCTTTCTTCAATTGCGTGTAAAAACCCCAAAATGTAGCCTCACCCCTCAGAAGGGAAGTTGCACAACAGGGCAGTTATAGAATTAGGTCAGCAGCGTAGCCAAAGAGGATTGGGGGATGCATATTGCTCCCCTCCCCCGCACCCTCCAAAAAATAATCATCCCCAGAAACGAGGAAACGAAACAAATCAGTAGTATTATTAAGAAATATGGGGCACCCCCACAGTAATATCAAGTTCTCCCACTCTCCCCCTCCCCCACAGTGAGAACTCTGGCTACACCTCTGCCCCCCGTCCATCCATTTGCCAAAACAGATCTATGGCATTGCTGAGAGTAGTTGTCGCATTTGGATTTATTACCTAATAATCTTCACCCTGTGTGTTTTTTTCAATTCCACTACTGCCTTCCATGCTGGAGCAGCCATTCGTCGATGAGGACCACTTTCTACAGCATTTCTTCCTTCCCCGATTCTATGCCATTGCTCTGCCTGTCGTAGCTGGGTTGATCTTCCTCACATTCATTGGTGAGTAGTGCTTCTACTAGTCATTTGCTGATGAGGACTGACATTTTACTCATACCTTTGAATTTTTTAATCGCATTACACGCCATCAACTTTCATCTCGATGAGTACAAAAATTAATTATACATGTAACAATACTAACTGTACAGCATTAACCCTTATCTTGTAAAAATATTCTTAGCAAGAACCCATTCTCCAAAATCCCCTCCCATAAAGTAAATCAAAACATATTCTGTGTACTTGATCTTTCATGGAGCTTTGAGCTCTGTGCAAAGAAAAAGTGGCTGTAGTGGCCGAACCTTCTTAACTCCTACAAAATCCTACAAAACCTCCAGGTGGATTTTCAAGGATTGCGGAGGGTTATGGTTAATGACAACCATTTTTCCATCACCTGGAGGATCGGAAATGATCAACCACAATCCCCACTTTGATCTTTTCCCAGGAACGTAGCACTGCGCTGTGCCGACCAATTCATTCAGAGTTGATTTCAAGGAATTACTGATGCAGCAGATATGAAATTTTGTGACATTTTGAGTGTAGCCCTGACTGTAGCTGGATGGGCTAAAACTGAGTGTCTGATGATTCAGTTTCAATGTCATTATAACTGTTTTTGTGTTCCATTTTCCTGTTGGCAGGTGTCTTCGTGACGGCAGTCACTCTGATGAAGAAGAAGAAAACCAAATGACAGAGAAGCAAGCTTGGCAAATCTATTTGTACAAAGTGGCATAATTCACTTTTTTTTTATTGAGTGCTGTTAATTGCTCAAAAGGAGCATTACAAAGTCCAAAACAGGATTGGAGATGTACAAGTATTTAATTTTAGAAATCAGAGGATTTGGGACTGTAGTTTCTCTTTTACCAGTACAGGTAATGACTTTGTACGAAAATTCAAATGAGGATGAAGTAGACTTTGAAATTTTTTTCCTTTTACTGTAACATGTACACACTCAGCACTGCGTACTTAGTGCCATTTGTGAGCCTGTAACAACAACAACAAATAAGAAGCTTGCTCAGTTGCGACACAAACCCACGATCTCCAGCTTACTGGTGTAGATGCCCTAACCACTCAGCCACCAACCTTGCCATCGTAAGCTAGGGGTTTCAAAGGAAAATCAAATCAAACATTGGCATGCTTTGTATTAGAGATGACGTATCTGTGTAAGTGCCCTGAGTAAAGCCATGTCATTGAAGGCTTGTCTTATGTCTAAAAATGCTTTTTTGGGGATTTGTAGAAAAATTTTGAAAGAGAAATGACAGCTGCAGTGGAAAAATTGTACAGTTATAAATGGCTCAATGCAAACACTTGTTAAATTTAGATCCGTTTATATGTATATTCATAGTCTATAGCAAAATTGTAAAAAGGAATTATGAGACATCCTTGGATGCTACAGGGCTAGAGTAGGATCCCATTTACCAGTGGCTACAGTGGCTCTTATTTCGGCCTACCCATTACGGTCATTTTGTCATGCCCCTAAATATGAAATTTCAAGCTCTACTAATACTGGTATGTGAAGCCACAATGGCAAACAGCACCTTGGACAAATGAAATGGCAATCAAGGATATAATCATAGCATTTGAGCATCTCATAATTTGTTATATCACTTTGGCAGCTAGTGTGACTGTGATACAGAGTACCCAAGTGAATATGTCATGCGCACAATTAGTGTGTAAAAGGCATTAGCGCGAGAACCAGCGTGTGAACCAACACGCGCGCGTACTCCATTTGTTTGCACTGCACTTTCTGGTTCACAGTGACATCACATTTCGGTACTCTATTACATTCAAGGATACACAGCACAGGGGACGTATGTTCTATTGTGGGAGGATTTCGGGGGGGGGGAGAATTCAAATGTGAAAAGGCAATGTGCACATGCAGCCAAATTTTTTGTGAGCTTCTCGGCCAGGCCTTACTTCCGTACTCCATTTTGGTGGTAAATTATAATAGTTTCTATCATTAGTATCCATGGAAACTAGTACTATTTAAGGCAACCTTATAATAGGAGATCTTAATGACATCCTGTGGTACCACAGTGATGTCCTAGGATACCATGATACTTTGAGATACCAAAAAAGCACTGGAGCAAATTAATAAATAATATGTCTTCAGGCAATTCCATTGAATATCTTATCAAAAGAAAGGTCCAACTCCACCCTTTTGGCCCAGGCCTATGAGAGGTAATTGATTTCCGTTGCAACTTCTGCAAAATATATGCACTTTTTTCTTTTGAACTGAAAAAAGGTTTTGTTGGAGTTGGGCTCTTCTTTCAATTAGGTATTCAATTAGAAACTTACTAGAGTAGCTAAAGGCCTCTTAGGATACCATAACAGCATTTTAGAAAACTGGTGACATCATAGGAAATCATGATGGCATCTTACATCACCCTAGTGGCATCTCAAGATGTCCCAGGATACAGGGAAGAGTACTTTGGAATCCTATGGTTTCAGAGCATCTGAGCTTAATACACAACAGGAGTTCAGACTTCAGTAATAAAAGTCAGAGGCCTGAATATCTCTTGAATGTACAGTCTTACTGAATGGCAAAAATTTGAAATATTTATTTGTCTAACTTGATTTTATCGTGGTCTTATCAGTTTGTCACAGTGTTTGTGCGTAACACAGGCGTACCATTCTAAAAATGTCACGAGCATCAAAAAATGATGTCTTGAGTATCAACAGAATAATAAAGTGTTCGTTTTGATACTTCACTTTGAATACGACTAACTTGTTCTCTCATTATGTGACTTTGCAAGTCATCCTACTTACCCATGCACAAATATTTGTTCTGCATCTATGGCAACACTCGGCACTGTTGTGTGGAATCCAATAAGCCCTGGTGACATAACAAAGGCAAGATTAAATTGCAATCTGCATTAAAGAATTCTATGGGAGGATAATTATATTTAGCTGGCTGGCTTGCATGTTGATTATCTTGTGTGTACTGCAGCCATCCAGCATATCAAGAGGCATTGATATTCAGACTTTGTCATTTCTTGCTCCATAGATCTGCCTCACAGGTAGCTTGTGGTGTGTTTTGACCCAATAATAAGATATTGTCCTAAGAAACATTCCCAAAGGTAAAAGCTCATGGAAAACTAAAGGGCAGAGGAAACTAATGACCCCTTTTGCGCTACCCGCAGTATTTCAACATGTCATAAACATTGCTTCATTTGCTCACTTGCCAACTCGAACATGGTAAATACCAGTCGGGGGCAAAAGTGAGGATCGATTGTTAGGCAAAGAAAGTTCAATTTACTTCAAATGCATGGGCATATCCAGTTTTCTCGCGACAATGCACATAAATCCCTGTACAGACCCAGTGGGTCATGACCACAAGTGCTCTATTGAACATCGTACTCGCAGTTAAAAAGGACTCTCCACTCACCCCACTCCCCATCCAGTCTGTCTTATTTTGTATCTTAGTAAATAACATCCCAGATCCTTATTATCCTAGTTTTAGACTCATACATGCATTGAAAGTTCCAGTATGTACAAGTACTTTCAGCATTTTTTATATTATACATGTATTCAAGAATACAATCTTACAATCACTTTTTTCTAGAGCTAATAAAATGAGGATAGTGAACAAATTATGTTTCATCAAAAACATTTTGCAGTCCCAGCAGAATTCGCTGCCATTCTGAATTAAAATTACCATTTAAAAATGTACGTTTTCATCATTTTAACACGTGTAACTCATCAGAATAAGCAAAATTGTCCCTCAGATAATTGCACCAAAACCAGAGTCGTTTTACCTTGCATAAAGTGGAACAGCCCATGTCCTGCTTTTGTGTTTTATGCAGGTGTTTGTACACCTGTTTATTAGTTGTACGCACTTTCTTCCTACATGCCCGTTGGCCCTAACGTGGGTAACCGGGGTGCTGGTGCATACAAATAACATGACTCCCATGGAGAACTGACTCGGCACTGTTGACTGGATCCGCCTGACTGACATCATGATGGCCAAGGTAGGCTTTGATTATTTGACGACTGTTCTTTTATCTTTTTTTTTTTTTGGTAAGTTTTTTGATCTCATACAAAACTTAATGCTGGGTACCGGTAGTGTTAAGGCATTAGGCGCCTACCTATAAGTAAAACTGCAGCCAAGTATTAAAATGAATTGAATGTCAAAATGGCAAAGAATTAATAATATGCAGCTGTGCAGACAGTAACATATGTAGCAGACCTTAAGTTTTCTTTTTACGAAGGGCTATAGTTACTACAGTAACCATATTGTGACCTCCGAGTTTTCAAGTTACGCCATTGCAGAAGCATTTATCTTTGCCAATCTATATGTTTGAAATTCCTCTTGTAGTTGTGCTTGTGGTATTTCAATAAATCGATACACATGTTGTTATGAGCAAGCTAATCATGAGCAGGTCGGGCCACGCTCTGCATGTCATTTTTTCTTCAATCTGTCTAAACTTTTGTAACTATTACCACCATGTTTCTTTTATTCCAGCTCATTTGTATTTGTAGTTATTCATCAAGTCAATAAGATCAGAAATCAAGAACACCTGTATATGCCTTGGCTATCATAAAAGACTTGGAATGGAAATGCATCTGGATGAAAAAGTGCAAGCTATGTGAATTACATGTACTTTCTTTTTTCCCAGATCTTATAATTGGTTGTAGGGCAGCTGCTTGAATCATGGAGGCTGAATATAACCCCCTCCCCCTTCATTTTGTTATAAGTTTCTTGTTTTTATGATTTTTTCAATTAGCTTTCAGTCATTGTCTTCTGAATGCTCATGGTTACTGTTTCGTGAAGCAAAATTTTAAGCATCTGTTTCTGTGCTGATTCCAGTAAAGAGAGATGACAGAGGGGTTAAATGTGTCATCTTCACATTCCCCTCCCCGTGGGCAGGGCAGTGAGACGGTGCAGGAGGAGGCCAGCTTTGCAAGCCTGGTGCGAAAGGCCCAGAAACATTGGAGCCACCGTGGCATCATCGAGATAGACAAGCAGCACCGACTCTACAAGATCTCCCGATGCATCCAAATGGGCATACGGGGTTGCATCTCCCCACATCCCTCCGTTGAGGTACTAAGAGCAGCAAAAGCAATAAGTCTCAACTACAGGGGTTAACTAGTCCCAGTGTCCTCCCCAAATCCCAATAATTCCAAACTTTCAGTTCAGTCCTTACCCTCAGACTGAGATCTTAGCTCATACAAGGAAAAGGTCATTTAGACTTGCCCTACTAGTCTTTTTATATTTTTAGCGAACAGTTGTCAGGATCCCATTTGCACACATTTTTAAGGTTTGTTAAAATTAGAAGTAAAAAATTGTCTTTATTTTGTTTATAGTTGTTCAGCATTTTCTCAGATTTTTCAAGAATTCTTATGTCCAAATATTCAAACCTTTTTGGAAAAGCAGGTCCTTTATATTGTAAGTTTAGACTTTTCTGTCCATAAAATGTTTTCTTTTGTTTGTTTTTTTACGTATTGCACTCAGGTAGAAAATATAACTCACCAGGAGGAGGACTATCTCGAAGTCATAACACAAATTCACTTTGAGCAAGATGTCAACAAGGTAACTATCAGAAAAAAAAACTTACGTGTCTTCATTCCATCTTCCCATTTCATATTTTACCAATTTTATTTTGACCGGATTTGACGATAATTCTTATCCAACGTTTTGTTGCAGCAATTTGAATTCCGGTGCTATGCCCCCAAGGTATTTGCCTCCCTCCGTGCCTTGGTGGGAGTAACGGAAGCTGAGTATCTTGAGTCCCTGGCCCCCTCTGGCCCACCCCTCCCCTGTCTGGAGTTCATCACTTCTTCAAAGAGTGGGATGACATTCTTCTTGTGGTGAGCCAAAATGTTGCAATCGGTCCAAGCGCCTGATATGAATGTTTACATGTGTCATCTAGTACCCAATTTTTGAGACTTTCAAATTCAAAGTCTTCGTAACTTTGTTGTTTGATTCCGGGATATTACTTTCCAAAATGAGAAGTATGGAATAGATTTGTCTTGATTTGTGTCTGCAATGCTAAAGGGTGTCAGGAATTGTTTTGTTCTTTGGGCCCTCAGTAGGAAAACAATTCCCAAAATTGTGTTAAATAGTACAGATACTGTTGGAAGCAAAACAAATGGAATTTTTGCTGAAAAAAAGCAAATGTCAGAGCTGCAGTTTCACAGTTTGATCCCTCATTTAATAACCTTGAAAGGTCATGGATCATGGAAGTTTACATTCTAAGTTTCCTTTGCAGCTATATAGTTTCAAGTGATAAAATATAAGATTAATTATTTGCATTAATATTTAAATCATCTCCGTTTACTTTAAATTCATGTCATAATTGGTAATAATTAGCCACAACAAGGCCTTCATCATGAAGACAGAGAAGTCCCAAGATATCGCTTTCTTGAGGAGTCAATTTCTGCACCGTCTCAGTCGTCATTTTCATGATTTCCCTCATTCATTGCTGGTCAAGATTGTCGGCTGTTACTTCATTAAGATGAGTGGCAGTAAAGGGGTAAGTCATTATTTTAAGTACAGAGTTGCTAAAAAAATTTCTGCAAACTGGCTATTATGTGGCTATTATTTTATTCTGTTTGATTTTCAGTTGGTCTCAAACTTTAAGTTCATATTATTGACCAAAGTTGAAGTGGAATCAAAGCTTTGATTTTTGTTTTGTCAAGGTTCCTGATCCAGTAAGTATTCAGAAATTTGCTCATGTAGAAGCTCAGTTACAATACAAAGTCCTAATTCATTCACAGCAAATGGATTATGACTCGAAGTTTTGACATAAACTTTATCTTTCCCTATCCTGTGTAATAGATCTACAGTTCCTTCATTGAAATGTGAAACTAATAGACCCTTGTTCAACTCTCTGCCTATATTTTCAGCTGTTCTTCACAGTAATGCAAAGTGTTTTCCACCCAGATGAGAGGATAAGTGAGAGGTAATGTATATCAATTTCTAAACCATAAATATACTTTGAAGATTTTTGGCTCAAATCTGCATTTTTTGCTCAAATCTGCACTTTTATGAAAACCGTTTGAGCTTTTTATTGCTTTTGTGGGCCGCGTTGAAACATGTTGTCAAGTTCCTGGTTTTGCTTTGAGGTCACAAACATGTTTCTGGTTGGGGCTGGCGAAAACACACCCCTGCTGATGCTTGTCTTGTTTCTTGTTAGGTTTGACTTGAAGGGTTGCTCTGCCAGTCGCTATGTCCAACCTCTAGAAGAAGGTAGTAAAGAAGTCATCGTTCTGAAGGACAATAACTTTGATGGCAGAAAGATTAACCTAGGCAAGTCATCTTGTGTTTTCTGTATTAGATAAAGAAGTGACGAGCTCACTCAACCCCCCAAAAACTGAAATGATAGGGTTGAACCTGAGATAGGCTTCACTTTCAGCTTTTGCTTATCACAGCTGGGGTACAAAGGAGTTAGCAAGATTCAAGGTTTACTGTATAAGTATATTGGACTTCCTCTGTGTCTTTTCTGAAGGAGTGCAAGCACCCTGGTTCCGCAGGCAAGTCGACATAGACACAAAGTTCCTAGAGGAGCAAGGAATCATGGACTACAGCCTGTTGCTAGGCATTCAGAAGCTACATGCTGACGAGAAGAAGACAGCGGACAAGCTTGCCGATGTAGTGTCCCGAGCTAGAAGGTAGACAAAGTGGAAAATCAGTAGACTGATATTTGGAGTTGGTTTAAGACTTTAGGCCAGTTCTACCTCTGTTTCCTCCTAAAATAAGAGTCATGAAATCAAGGCTCGATTGAGTAAAGCACCCATGCGGCATAGGCCCCATCCACAGGCACCTGTTTAAAGTTTGCCTTACAAGTGTCAGTGGTCTATGGCCTTACTCCACCCAAGGTACAACCAGCAATTTTTTTTTGCGGATTAGCACTGGAGCCTCCCATTTCCTGTTTATGCTAAGCATAATATGAAGCTGCCCCTAAATTGAGAAAACTCAAAATAAAAAAAAAACAGAGAAAAAGAGGTGCTGAAACATGTCTTGCATGCATTTGAAGGTTGGAGTTAGTGTTTAATGGCATAATGATACTTTTACAGGCCCCAATCAAAATTGGAACAAACAGCCCACATGAACACTTATACCCAGGAATACCATAATTAAATCATAGATGTCAAAATCAACTTGGTGCACACATGCGGTGAAATCCTCAGTCAAAAGTTGGCAACTGTAGCCTAAATGGTTTTTTCTTTTGTTCAAAATATTTCAGATCAATAAGAGCTGTGTCTGATAGTCCAAGCAGAGTGTGCCCAAACTGTGGTGGCAGATTTCCCACTTGGAACAGAAGATCTAATATCAAGACCCAACGGCCTGCTGCTCCACCAGCCGAAATATCTTCACCCCATGAAACTTACCAGAATGGTGACAACACGGAACGTATGGTTCGGGAAATCCTCGAAATCAACCTGAGCAGTGACAGCCAGCAATACACGAGTCACAGCGGCAAATGTGCGGCAGATGGAGAAGACTGGAGGGAGAATTTTTACTCAAGGTCACAACTCAGTGACAACATTTACGAGCAAGCTCATCAAGACAAGGAAGAGGTTGAAACAGGGGCAGACAAGACTCAAAGAAACGCCCTTCCTGGTATGATAGAGGATGACGGGAGCCAACCAAAGCCAATTAGCAGTGCAAAGGAAGAGGGCACCGACAAGTCCAAGCCAACTGGAAAAACCAATCAGACCCACTCTGGAAACATGAGGGCAGCCATGTTGAGCCCACAACAGCAGAACCTTAGCACCACCTACTGCCAGTGTACCGGCCGATTCCAAATTGACAAGTGCACTGAGCGAAACCAGCGACTACTCCCAGACACTATCAACCCTTTGCATATCATTGATGGTGTAGACGATCGATACTATGTTGGAATCATTGATGTCCTGACACAGTACGGCATACGGAAGAAGATGGAGTACCTGTACAAGTGTTTGCGGTACCCAACTGAAACTTTTTCGACCGTGAAACCTGAACACTATGCCCAGCGTTTCAGAGAATTATGCTGTGCAAAAACTGAATAGAAAACTATTCCTGGAAATAGCTTCATCACACAGAAATTACGTGTGATAATCTGCTTTTTACACATTCATAAGTCTATGGGCTACTTGTAGGAATCACGTAAGAGGGCTTTTTGGCATATAAAATCAGTAACTTTAAATGAACAGGCATGCTAAAGCTGCACATGAGACTGGACTTTATCCATTGACTATCATGAGGGACAATGCAGCGCATAGACCTCTCTCATAGGGAAGCCATCTTTCTATTCTACCATTCAAAAGCAATGTAACCAAACTGAGGCTGGAAGGAAAATTAGTTTGTTCCATTATATTAGTATGTGAACTTATATTGTTATTACCAAAGAGGCTGTAGGTGACAAGACAAACATGGCAGCATCATGATAAAGGTCTAGAGAAGGTAACAACTGTCATCAGAGCATCAGGCTATATGTGATACCGGCTCTAGAAAAATGGGTAATAAGTAGAGAGATACAGGTTATGAGTTTTTGATATGGCTGGATTCTGTACATCAAAAGCTACAGTTGATATATGAATGACCCTGTAGTGCGCTGCATTCCGGAGATATATACAGTAGACATTTGTGTATCCACATTTTCAGATTCAATAAAAAAACATTTTGAGAAAAAGCTCATGAACTGTAGTGCTTGGAAACACAATGCTATAAAGGATTTCTTACTGAATGATCAATTTTTTTATCTTTATTCATCAGTATCCATGTTTGTAGTCACAAATACTGAAAATATATTATAGAAAGGATTAATAAGGGAAAAACAAAATCTCCTTTTTGAAGGAATTTTGCCCTCTCCAAATGGAACAGGCCATTACGTGTTTTGGCATTGCACGACTTATAACCCTTTTTTGCAGAGCGCGTCACATATTCACCTGTGAGAGCAGTTCAGATTTTCAAGTAGATGTACATTTTCAACCATTTGGTTAAGGTGTTTTAATGTCTTTGTAGCTCAATTTGCAGGTGTGCAGTGTTCGTGCAGATGTGGGTGCAAAATGAAAAACAAATGTTTGACAGGCAACTGATCACCATCACCATGAAACTAAGCTCTGTGTTTTGAAGTGGTGGATATTATTTTGGGATTTTACAAGCAGTGCCAGTGTTCAGCTGGTTCTGTTAAGACTTCAGATTCTCAGAACCAGATGGTAAAGAGAGATCCGTGTATGTTCTTTCACCACAGACTTATTGCTTGCAAGTGTTATTGATTTAAGAAATTCTGTTTTCACTTTTACATGAAACATGAGCAGAGCTTCGCATTCTTGTTTTGTGTTTGTTTTTTGTAACAGTTGCAATGTGTCTTGTTTCAATGATTACGCCAAGTAAGGAGATTATCGTTGCAGTGACTAAATAAGCTGGTGTTTACAATAAGCCTTTTGTGAGTTAAATTTGAATAAAATCTGGTAAACTGAGTTGTTTAAATTCACATGAACATAACAATTTGAATGCTCCTTACTTAAGACATTGTTGCTACACCTCATCATTCGGGGCAAGCTTTTCCTTAGTTACATAACTACATGTCTTGTTTCAGTGGATAAGAAGGGCACCAAGGAACCAGTCCCTTCCAGAGATGGTGGTTGCTATGTAAAAGCTTGCCCGGAATCACAAGGTACAGCAACAGTGTCTTTAGGCTGGGAATTCAAATTGTGTTTCAGTAGAACCAGATTACTCAGTTTACCAGATTTTATTCAAATTTAACTCGCAAAAGGTTTATTTCTATGAAGTTCTCAATGTTTGCAGAAATCCAAGGCACATTTGTTTTGCAAATGTATAAAGATATAGTATATGAAATGATGGACGAAGTATCAATCAACTCATGTTTAATAGCACTTCAGAAACGTATGTTTGCAATTTGTGATAACGCGTTATATAACCTGAAAGAAAGATATTGTAGGGCATTTTAATATTTATTACATAGGTCTATGTCCATGCAACAAGTGAGACTTTCATTGAAGACAATGCGAATGACCCTGGGGTCATGTTGTTTCAATTCAAACTTTCCATATGACCCAACTCAGATTTGGCTGAAAAAAATCCTCAAAATTCCTTGGAACACTTTTTGAAAGTTTGAGGTAAATGCAAAAAAAGGATAGCTTTACCTGAACAAGTACCTCCTGCTGGATTTCTTCACCTGATGCTTTTCTTGTTTTGCTTTGGATGCAGGCTCTGTATATTTAGGCAAATAATGATAAATTAATCACCTCAATTTCTACCCTCTCAAATCTCCCTTTTTTGTGTGTGTTTATTGCTTAGAGTGTCCATGAAATTAGGAGTAGGCTGCAAAAATTCTGTTGTCCTGATGTATATCAATTTGATACATTTTATTCTTTTGTTTTCAAATCGTGACTTTTGGAGGAAAAAAGGGATTTCTTTTTCTATTTTTACAAGGGATAAGGAGTGAGCAAGGTTTGAAATAAATCTCCTAAAATTTTCACAGAAAATGAAAGGAAATACTGAAGTATGATTCCATTTTATTTCTTGGTATTCTTGCGTGCCTCTTGCACATTTTATTCAATCTATAAACTCAAGCCAAACATTAATACAAGGTTCTCAAATCAAAAGACAGGAACGTGCATAATACAAGGAGTTTAAGTACTATTAATTTGGAGTTAACACAGCCATAATATGAGGTGTTTTGGTCTTAAGACCATGTTTGCTTTACTACACAACGCTGTACCTTGGAAATGTTTAAGTAGCAAAGCAATTTTTCTCCATTCCTCTTGAATGGCACAAATGAAGAAGTAACTACATAATGCAAATGCCTATACATTGCATACTTAATAGGAAAAAAATCACCAGTAATGCCTCCATCGAATGCCCTGTAAAAACAAACCTGGGGACCCCAGCGACAAACTTCTTTCAAGTTTGAGCCAATGATCGACCATTATCTGCTTTCTGCCCGTGTTTTCAAATCTCTTTCATCAGTAAACACATTCTTCAGGATCTTACACACCGTCTCAGAGAGCTGGCTGGATTCCCCAACTCTCCACACTTTCTTGCCCAGTTAAAGTTCACTTGATAAGGGCACCTAATTTAAAACAGCCATTACAAAATGTTTGTTTTCATTGGTGCCCTACCAGACAAAATGCTCGGTGGAGACTCTCAAGGAGTTCACTTCCCTCGGCAGCGATTTCCCCAAATTCAACAAAATGGCTTGGAAAATCACGCTGAACCTTGGCATTAAAAGCAGTTATTGATAAAGGACAGCAATTAACAAACTCCAGAGGGAAAGAAACAAATTCTTGGAGACAGGTACTGTAATTATATATGATACATGTACCTGGCTTTAAAGCACAAATAAAGTCTGAAACCAACACACAAGGACCTTGAACTAACCACCTAAATTTGACAAATTATATGTTTTGTTTAGAACAAAGCCAGTTTAATAAACCAACTGGGCCACTGTCCTTGAGAACATATGCAAATATTACATTTTAACGACTCAAATTAAAATGAAAATATGCATTACTTTACAGCTCATTTCATCTGGGTCACAGCAGAAATGTTTAGTGACCCCTTACCTTCCCACCCCTCACCTTTGTGCATGTGAGTTGCAAAAACAAAATTAACAGGTCCTGACACACTTGTACACAAAAAAACCCAATTAAGTACACAATCAGATGAGTCTGCTGTTGCCTCAAAACAAAAATAGTCAATTCAAAACAATTACACTCTACAATATATTAACAAAATAGGCAGTGCTTTCATATTGCTAACTTACTAAGATAGCTGTCTGGAGAAACTGTACCCACACAATTAAGTGCAGTTATACACAACTTTCTAACAGAAAAAATAATAATTATTAGCTTTTGTATCAAGTCTACACTTTCCATTACATAAAAACTAATATAACATAAATCTTCTGTTGGCAGTGCTGAAACATGAGGTTATCTCAGAAGGTTGATTGCCAGCTCAATTTTTGATTATCAACTGCTGTCTTGCTGATGGATACCAGCAAGTTTCCCAGTTGTCTTCTCGGTTGTCCTTTCATCTGTCACCACCTGATACTTTGTACTTATAACATTTGGCTTGATTCAGACAATCGATTTCACAGCTCTCTGAAATTAACCCCGATCACATAAATCAAAATGAATTAAGCAATTGATAGGAAAATCAAATAGGGGAGGGACTTTCATAAACGACTTCATAAATTTTAAGAAAGTTAGACTGTACCTTGCAACCTTTCCTTTTCCTTACATTTCTCTACAGCTGTGAATTTCAAGGTTTTATCACTCTAATAAGGGAAAACAATCTTGCATCTAACTCGATTCTCCATTCAAAAACCATGTCAATTTCAACTTTCTTTTGACTATTGATGCACTTTTTTGGATATTAACAGCAATCAAGGTCTTCGAAATTTAGCAGCAAGTTACAGGCTAAAATTAGCGACGGAATCGAAGCAAGACTAGCCACAACACAGAGAAAGACAAAAACCTATCCAAACAGCACATTCAATCAGTACTGACTGCTTCAATACTGGTCAAAATGATTGCTCATTCTTTGTACCCAATTTCGATGCACTAAAACAACTGCTCGGCCTTTGAAATGTCAACCCCAGAGTACTGTGTCAGCCTTGAGAACAAACGTTTGTTAAGATAACCGACAGGCATTTGGGTCGTGATGGGCAAACTTTCGATCAGGACTTCTGAAGGTGTACAATTCAAGGTGCACTGTTTGCAATCTCAAACACCTTTCTCACTTCAAAAACAATACTCTTTACAAAACCTTTGAATATAACTTAAGGCATATGAATACAATTACTGACGGCTGGTTTGGAATTTATTTACAGAGAAAAGTACATACATATGTCTCTGCCACACCAGAGATGTCATTAAGTGTTTTAATACAATATGTTACACAAAATATATATATATATAAAAGGTGCTTTAATTTCTTTTGTTATATTAAGATTCTACTTGGATTACCACCACTAACCCCAATATCAAAAATAATCCTACGTAAAATTGTGTTTTACTGTTTAAATTTTAATCTTCTACGAGTAAACGGTTCAGATTGTTGTGTTCAGTTGTTAGAAAGGGTTTGGTCCAACAATGAAGCGATTTTATCAACTAGTCTTTGTTTCAGAAACACACATCATGTCAATGTTTTTAAGCAGTGAACATTTTAAGGAATGATTTGATAAGTCAAAAATCACTACCTCTTTATGAATGCTTGAAGGTATTTTTGCATTCAAGGTATTCAAAACAGAAAGATGAAGGGCTTTTTGGCTTTACATGTCACTCAGTGGAACTCTTAAGAATTTCAATATTCACAATTTAAAACAGTACTTACAAGTTGGAATTTCAATCAGAGAAAAAAACTTGGCATGAAAACAAAGACTGTGTGAACCAGCACAGAGGTAAAAAGAGTTAGACTGTTAAAAAGGCTGGGATGACATTTTTTGCTCATATTCACAGAATCTGAGTTCTAAGTTCTTTCAGTAGCTTGTAAAACATGTCAGAACTACATGTGCTGTTTGCCACAACTTGCCACAGAAGAGTTTCAGTAAAAGCAAATATGACACAAAGTACTGTCGAAAAAACTTTGACATATATTCAAATGGCCAAATGACATTTCCATTATTGTGGAATACAAATATGCAGCATTCCCTCTATGTACATGCACATGATATATACACACACGGTATTCGCACCCACTCATATGTAGGCCTGTACTGTAGGGTTATACTGCATTTGTAAGGAGTCTTGGATATGGCCATTCGTCACCGGGCCAGGGGGGCTGGAAATACCTTCCGAACCTGACCAGTCTGAGTGGGCTGACGAATGAGGGGAGGAGCTGGACCACTGGCCGGGGGACTCCGGCGACGGTGTCAGATACTGTTCCGGAAACACTGCTGACAGGTGTGGGGTGCTGTCTGCACAGGGTGAACCGCCCTGACTGTGTTGGGAGGGCGGGGTCGGGTACTTGTCCGACATGATGCTGACCACCGACGGATTGGGCAGCTGAGTCTGGATGATGTGGTTGTGGTGTGGCTGCGCTTGTTTGCGCAGGTTCGGCTGCGAGCGTTCGTGGCCCCTGTGGATGGGCGACTTGGCGTGCCTGGCATTCATATGCACGTCGCCATTGCTGTACTGTGAGGGGTGCCTCGGCATGTGATGGTTGTGGTGCGGGAGATGGGTGACATGCGGGTGCTGGTTGGGGTAGCCCTTGGTCGGGGATAACGTGTACGGAGCTGCAGGAGAACTGGAAACAGACACAGCAGCAGCTGCGATGTCATTCGCCATGGAGTGCTGCAAGAGAGGAGGTAGACTGGGAGGTGATGCACACGCCCCTTGTTGCTGCTGCTGTTGTGACACCATACCCTGTTGCTCTCTGAGTCTATGATTCTGCTGCGAGTGTGGATGGCTGGCTGTACTACCCCACTGATGCTCTGATGGGCAAGACACTGCAATGGCACCTGCCCCAATGTCAGACCCAATTTCTCCATTGGGCACAACAGTCTTTAGGTTGATGCTCTGCATGCTGTGGCTGAGGTGAGCATTGCCATTCATCGCTGTGGCCTCCTCCACATACCGCGGCACCTGGTGGATACCGTTGTGCATTCCGCTGGGTATGTTGTGGTAGTCCACCATCGCCGAGGTCTGGCTCGTGTACACCGGGAACGGCGGAGAAGTCCTTTCGAAACCGCGCGGCGACTCCAGTGATCCCGCCGGCGAAAGCGAGGCCGTGGTGGGCGCATCTGTTGAGTTGCGCTTCTTCCTCGAGCGTGACTTCTTGTCGGCCTTCTCACCAGCGTGTGACGCGATGTCACCATTGGCAGCATGCTGCTGTCCTGCTGACTTGGACCGCGAGGCTTTCTTCTTGGCACTGGGCTTGGAGCCCAGGTGGCCGTAGCCATTGACCATTCCCATGTCCCCATTGGCCAGGCTGGCCGGGCTGGAGACGGTTGGCGATGTGGCACTGGGACTCAAAACCACCTTGTACGTGTCCAGTAATTTCAGGACATCTCTGTGGCGGTTCTCGTTGACCTTGTCGCGAGGTGATTGGTCGAGATGGTCCGTGATCTCACGGTTCGCATAATGATCTAGGAGGGTTCGCACTGTCTCCACGTGACCCTCTTTGCAGGCAAGGAATAGCGGAGTTTGCTCCTGTAAACAAAGGGTACATAAAGCATTGTCACATCATTATCTACACAACGTCCACGCAGTACAACGAAAAATGCCTGATGATTACAAGCACTGACACGAGACTCAAATAACAACTACAAACTTACAATTACCCTTTCCAAATGGAGAACAAAGTCCATGCGACATGCTCTCAAACAGAGCCAACACATTTTCGAGTGGCTCATCAAATGCTGTTCATCAGCATAATCATAACCAAAGCTCTTGATCCATCTACAGGTCAACTTCTAATAGCTCATTTTCAGAGTTGCAGTGAAGTCCGTCACAAGTCCATCACCAAAGTCACACGCTATTCTATTAAGTTTTGACAGAAGCAGCCCTGTGTATAAATATTGGTGACGATCTTGCCAACGACTTGCGACCAACTTATGATGGACCCGAATATGACTGTGGGTTTTCCGCTGCTTCAGTTCCCTTATGACACTTCCTGCCGCCCATTTAACAGAGAAGACAATCTGTTCCAAACTGCTTACTGTTGCCTCAGAGTTGTGGTAATTTCAAGTACAGACGCCAGTCTCGAGTGAGACTCTGCTGAGTGAAGAGTCATTATCCACGGCTCTTCTTTCCCCTCCCCCTCTCCCTCTTCACAGCTGACACTACCTCAAGTTTCCCATCACTGACCTTGTTGTCCTGTATGTCTTTGTTAGCCTTCCTCTCAAGCAGCAGTTTCACCATGTCCACATAGTTCACCTGGGACGCCCAATGCAGTGCCGATTTGCCTGAAATGGTCAGAATGCAAGTCTAAACGACGGGACGTACAAGAACATTTTATCAACAAAGCCGCTTGTCTTCATCCACGCCCCGAAAAAAAGGAACTAAAGCTCTTCAATTTTGAGGGCTTTCTTGCCTTGAAATATTTTAAACCTGAGGAGAATGTTACCTCAGGCAAGTTTTGAAAATGCCGTCTTGTTCAGGCACAATATGGTATCCAGAACACAACTGTATAATGGTAAGTTAACTTTACATATTACCAATATACTGAAATAAGAGGGATGATCTTGTCTACTTTATTAATAATTCCGCTAAGCACTAATGGGCAATGATAAAGGGTAAGTTACCAGAGAAGCCTCTTTACTTTCAATCACGTCATATATATTCTTATTCAATCATTGGGGAAGGATGTTAACTTGAACAAGGGGTAGTACGAGGTATTACCATGACATATCCACAAAACACGGCTAGACCAAGGTGAACCTCGAGGAAAAACCTCCAGTTCACCTCTTGTTTCATGTTGCATTCTTCCCAAACTGGGCTGAAGTATGCTAATTTCAAAAAAATCCATCTTCGGAGCACTGTGCGCCGCACTCAACTCAACATGAGAATGTGCAAATGTGATTTTGTTGACTTTGAGCACCCCGTGAGTGACGCTCAACCCTCTGACCCACCTTCATTGTCGGCCGCATTGACGTCGGCGTTGGCCACGATGAGCTCCTGTATCATGTCAATGTTGACCTGCAGTCTGGCTGCCATCATCATGGGGGTGATTCCGCGGTTGTCCTTGGCATCTACGTTGGTGGCGCGGTGCATGATCAGGATCTGCCACAGAGATGGAAAGAGAAAAGAGCAGCCCATCAAAATCTACCCTTGCATGATGTTGATTTCCATGACTTTTTCACAATCATTTTTTCTTCTAACGACAGGATTCCAGGACACCCTATTTTTCCCTCAATGTTTCCATGACGTTTTCATGACTTTCCAAAACAACTTTTCCCGTAGCTTTTTTTCAGAATCTTCGGTGACCATGGGCTCCCTGAGAACCAGTTGCAAGGAATACACACAATAAGGTGTCTCTGCCGGAATCTTTTGTTCTCAGCCACAAATGTATTTCCTGTACTCGGCACATTTCTGCGTTTGGCGTATCTCCGAGAAAAAGATGGACCCGACCGTCACTGTGGACACTGCCATCCAAGGGCAAGGTTGAGAGATGACTAGAGTGAACCACTGTTCCACAAACGTTTTCTAATTGATGGATGTGTTGGACCAGTCAGTCATTTGGAACCAGGCCCCACGTATGGTTACACAACTGGCTATTGACAGCAAATTTAATTTAGAAGTATGCTGGGAACTGTCCACATAAAAGCAATTGTACAAGATGTCATTGGCCATGAATGGGGTGAGAGTTGCAACCAACAGCAAGTTGTGAGTGATGATGAAATGGCCAAACTGTGGTTCATGCCCCACCGTGCCCCACACTGATAGACACTCACCCTAAAGACGTCAATGGCGTCTGAGCCCACGGCCGTATGTAACGGTGTCCGGCCCGAGTGGTCCTCGGCGTTGGCGTTGGCCCCATGCTCCAGCAGCTTCTTGGCAGCCGCCGGGTGGGCCCAGCGGGCTGCCAGGTGCAGGGCCGTCTCCCCCTGACTGTCGCTCTGGGCGTTGACCTTGGCCCCATGCGTGATCAACTCCTCAATGGTGTTGGCCGAGCTTTCTTCCCCGTCGCTGTCCCGGTCGTTGCAGCTGATGACGGCAAACATCAGCGGCGTCATCCCATCTAAGGGAGCAGGTAAAACAGTCAAGACCAAGGAACAGTGAATTCCAAGGAACAGCAGACAATGTTGAGTGATCAACAAAATAATTCACAAACTTAGACACCAACTTACTTTCAAGACAGATTACAACAGAAAAGTCTAAAAGCTACCTATTGGTCAGCTCCACTTGTTTTCAACTCTTTAACCAGGCTCCGAATGGGAGAGCGGAATGCAATTCTCCACTAGATCCAGGATAATGAGGATAACTCTTCCTTGCTGCATGTGACCTCCAACCTACCTTGTCCTGGGTCATCCACCTCTGTCTCCCTGATGTTTTGGGGTGGTGTCAGTGTCAGGTGGGAGCTGTTGTTCCACCGTTGGTCTTCGCTTTCTGCAAAGTCGGTGAGAGTTGTGGTTGCAGCAGAGGGCGGACTGAGCCGTCTGGTTGCCTGCAGCTAAAAGAGGAATAACACACCAAAGAGAATGGAAAAATTGAGAGTGCCGTTTCGGGCTGTGCAACAACTTCTAAGAGAGATGAATTTCTACTGGCTCTTAAACAACAAGAAGCCTAATAATGTTTGAATTCAAGTGATAAACGCAAACATCTTAAATCATTCACACTGTCATGCAGTTGTAAATGGTACATTTAGGCTTAGCTTTGGGTGGGTCCACTTACTAATGACAAATTTGGCTATAGCTTTAAAGCCTTCTGAACAAGTATCAGGGAAAAGGGTTTAATTGGCTCGTACTAGCCTTGCCTCACTTACCCTTGGTCGGTCGTTCATGGGTTGGCACCGAGCCTGGGACCGTTCCCAGTCCAGAGCCTCATGTGCATCACCCTCGCTGCTCTCAGTGGTGGTTACCCCCGAGATGCTCAGCATGATCTGGCCGTCCGCCAAGCCCACCGGCGGCTCCTCCTGGCCCTGGGGTCCATGGCGCTGGGCCGACGCACGGCTGCCCGCACTTGTCTTGCGCCACTTACCCTCAGGGAACCAGATGCTGCCCGAGCGCAGGCGCTTGCGGACAATGACCACCAAGGCAATCAGGACCATGGCCACTATGACAACCACAGCTGGAACGATCTGCTCCATGTTGCCCCCGGCAGGCTTGTCGGGCTCACCTGTTCATGGGGTCAAAGGGTAAAGGTAAGATCGTATTCCCTCACAGCCTAGACTTCATCCAAAAGTCTTGTCAGCAATCAGTAGTACCATGTATGTCTCGGGAGAAGGCCACAACCATACTAGGGACGGGGTTCATAAGAAAGTCACATCTACAAGACTTTCGTACACGGTCAACCACCCAGAAAAACCTCTGAAGTTTGTGCATTTTCCTCTGGGAGGAAAGCAGCCAAACCGTTCAAACAAAAATGATTAACTAGACAAGGATATATTATGTAGACAATCAGATCAGAGCCCATAGGATTCCAAGTACATCTATGCGTGGATTATACTTACTGCCAACTCCATAAATCGGGAAGTCAATTTCTCCTTTGGAGGCAGCAGCTCCCAACAACTTGGCTGCATCACCAGCATCCTGGATGCAGGTGTTACTATCACTCAAACAGCCGCGATTGTCAATGCGAAGATATGTCTTGGACCTGGAAGAAGCAATGAATCGGTTCTCATTGATCTGTATGGATTTGCTCCTACCGGGGTTTCACTTTGGAGGGAAACTATCCCTCACACATTAAAAACAAACAGTGGAGTAACTATACAAGCTTTATGTCCATTCTGTGAGTGAGATCCCCAATCTTAATTGCTACTCACCCGTAGAGTGTCCCCGCTCTCCGACGTCTGCTCAGGACGACCTCCCCGTTCCCAGTCACCGTCAAGTACACCTGGCGCTTAAAGCGGAAGAAGATGCCCAGGTCGTCACCACCCTGGCCCGACTGCCAGGGTTCGATGCGGTTTTCGCCATTCTCGTCCTTCAGGAAGACCACCACGGAGCGCAACACATGGCCAATCTCCCTCAAGAACGCCTTGCTGACGTTGGCTGAGCGCATGTCCTCCACGGGGACAAGCACGATGATGATCAGCACCCCCTTGGCGAACATGGGCAGCCGGTCATCACAGTCCAGGCCGTCGAGCATGCACTCCGCCGTGTTGCAGCCACCGTCACAGGCATCGTTGGCGTAATTCTCATGGCAGTAGGCATCGTAGACAGGGCTGGAGGGGGGGCAATTGATTGAGATAATAGTCTGGTCATGCTCACTCACAAGTCAAAACACCAGCCTACAGCAACCTACTTCGAACTGACCAAGTTCAGTTAACTTAAAGACTACAACAGTTGTAAAACAGACATTAATAGACAGCACTGGACATATGATTTGAGCTTTCTGGGATCACTTTTCACAAACAAAAGTCTCTGGAAATAACACCCTTTTTGATGAATTATCAATGGAGTCTCCTTTGCTTCAGGAAGACTGCACAGAAGATGACACAGCAAACTACCAAGTTCAAGATACCAAGTCAGACAAAGGGCAAAGCAAGACTCAAGTATGGTGGAACAGATTGCTATAGCAGACAGGAGGCAGCTTAAAAAAACCCCTGACCAAGCCCCCACCAATCACTCAGATACGTATCCAATCAAGCCCAAGAAATGGGAGTCAAATGCCAGTGACGGAAATTGCTGGATTCACATCGCAAAATGTGATACATTTTGTGCAAAAAGTGAGGCAAACCTGAAACTGATGTGCAATTTTTGCAAATGGAAAT